ATTGTTACGGGAGTTATTATATATATTTTTCAGTTTGAAAGGCAAGCTCGTGCATGTAGGAAACTATTATGAATAAGAAAAATAATATGTACTGAATATATGTAATTTTTACATTCATGATATGTACCTCTAGTATTAATAAGAATATAGGTTTTCTTTATCGATCATAAAAATGTAGGTATCTCTACTGACTTTTCTACAGGTAAATCTTACCTGTCTGAATCCTGGTACAGGAGAAACTATGACTGTCTGCTTGAGGGGTGTGTACTACAGAGGGTATAGGGGTCTGATGTCAGATAACATAGGGATTGAGACCAAGTCAAACTTCAATATATCTACAATATGTATTTCTCCGTTTGTACCAAGGATCAAGGAGGGTGTAGGCTTAGGGCGATAGCTTCCTGATCAGGGTCCAGAGGCAGTTAGTCATGGTAGAGTAGAGCAAAGTAAAAGAGTGTGGGTAGGGGGAGGGGTTTATTTAATAGATACATTTATCACTCATTTATATCATTTTTCACTTGGGGGGGGGGTATACATGCGTATCAATGTGAGGATGCTCACAATCTCTTGTCTCTAGTTCCACATGAAAACGTTATGGCGTTGAGGGAAGATGACGACATTTTCCTGAAATTTCAAGTTAACGAGTCTCCATAATTAAGTAATTTTTTGTGAAACTGGTGATGGGGAATGGTAGCACACACAAAATCAAGTGAAAATGTTTGCTTTAAAGTAAACGTCTCTGACCGTTGTCAGACTTTTTATAGGCAACACCACATTAGATGAGTAGCAAAACTACATAACATTTTGTTTGTCTGTGCTCAATACATGTAAGTGTAAGTGCTACAATATTTCATATTTTGTCATACATGTACGTAGCCTCATCGCCTGGTTCAAGTTCAAGTTCTTAATAACTTTGAGTCGTTCGACCCACCAGTTACAAAGTAACAACATTTGTGATATTAACTGTGCAAAATACAAAATAACAGTACAAAACATTACACACACTCACAACACAAATATAAGTGAAACTATACCTATTTATGATAATTATGTTCCTCTCGAATTTGCAAATTTTATATATTTCCCTAATTTCTTTTGTAGTTTTCACACTCAATAAACCTTTCAATTTTAATATGCTTGGCTTTTTAATATAATAAGCTTTCAATTGCTCGCAAATCAGAATGACTTGGTCTTCAACATCATACACACTCGACGATTCAATGTTTTGATATCGCCTTTTTCTAATTTTAAGTTATGAGGAGATTTTTCTTTTGATTTCTTTCAGATTGTATGGGTTTACGCAGGTCGTTTTGTAGATCAAAATGATCATAAATATATCTATAAAAAAAATCTTTTGAGAATATTCTATTTTTTCTGCACATTCTTCTCTAAAAATATCAATAAACCTTTCTTTCTTTAATCAATTAATCTTGTTGTCGTTAATATAATATTTCCAAATATACCCTAGGCCAGGTTAATCCCAGCCTCTGATATATACTGTCCACTGTGTAACTTGCTAAAGGCGCTAAGTGGTACTAATTGGTCAGCTGTAAAAGGTCAATTATCTTTTTCATTGAACCATGTAAGTTCATAGGTACACTAGCCCGGAACCGCTTGACTGATTTTTGACACCTTTATAATTACCACACACAGAGAGGGCACTCCGTTAACAAACTTACTTAAAAAATACAGAGACGTATTGTAATATATACGTCTCTGCTATAGACAACAAGGAATCACACTCTATTTTCTCAGGAACTCAGTCACATGATGACAATAAAGTTATCTTCATAATGATTTTTTTAATGATTACTGAAAAATATCATCATTTTCAATAATCTGATATGAAAAGTTTGTTACGTATTAGGGTTAGTATTCAACCTTGCTCGCTGATAACAGAACTCATGATAGATTATTTAAAAAAAAAATAGATTAGTTTTAAAACAAATCATCTACGTGAGAAGTTAAATATCCTAATAAGGGACATATTATTTTTTATTAAATTAGGAATTCCAAGTTAAATATTAGTTAGCCTCGGTTAATGCACTGTTGTGAAATGAAATTGTGCCTGGGGCTGTCATTTCCTGATCGAGGGACAGCGAAAGTATCTTACCTGTAGGTTTTTACCTTGAACTGATTTACCTGTATACAGCTGTACGTGTTGATAGACAATAAACTGGATTAATTGACATGGACTAAATTGCCTTGAAATCACAGAATGTGAACTTGATCAGGTACAGCACATCAGAATCCAAAGTGACCACAGGTGAATGGTCAATGCATTATCACTGCCTAGATTCTCAGGTATATAGATATCATATTGAAAGAAATGTATCTGTCAGCGGGTGGTCATGTTGCCCTAACAACCTTTATAACGGACACTAAAGTTGTTTATACCTTAAACAAGGGACAGGTCATTACCACATGGCCAGCGGTATACCTCTTATTTAAATTACCCCTAAGGCCGAGCCGCTGGTGTGGGGAACACACAGTAGGCCCATGGAAGGAGGGCTGTTACATCCATGTATATGTAAACCGTCATTTTTGTAGTTTATTTTTCCTTCAGACTATTATGATAGTTGGAATAATTTTCACGTAATGCGGTTTATGTGTGTTTTTTTACAATTCGTTTCGACAAATATATATTCCGTAAAATTTTCGACCGAACGTTTCACAAACGCTTTTTAAATGGAAAGATGTAGACGCAAGTGCTACGGAAACGATACGGAAGTGCTACAGAAACGCTACGCAAATGCTACGGTAATGGTACGGAAGTACTACGGAATGCTACGCAAGTAATACGCAAGTGCTACGCAAACGGTACGGAAATGCTACGCAAATGGTACGCTGAAAGTGGAACAGCGAACGTGTACGGGTCTGTATGAGGGGGTATGGTGTATGAGGCGATGTGTTATATGAGGGGGTATGGTGTAGGAGGAGATGTATTATATGAGGGGGTATGATGTATGGGGAGATGTGTTATATAAGTGGGTATGGTGTATGAGGCGAAGTATTATATGAGGGAGTATGGTGTAGGAGGAGATGTGTTATATGAGGGGGTATGGTGTATGGGGAGATGTGTTATATAAGAGGGTATGGTGTATGAGGAGATGTGTTATATCGGGGTGTATGGTGTATAAAGAGTTATGTTATATGAGAGTGTATGGTGTTTGAGGAGATTTGTTATATGAGAAGGTATGTTGTATGAGGAGATGTGTGATATCAGGGTGTATGGTGTATAAAGAGTTATGTTATATGAGGGTGTATGGTGTTTGAGGAGATTTGTTATATGAGAAGGTATGGTGTATGAGGAGATGTGTGATATGAGGGGTTATGGTGTATGAGGAGATGTGTTATATGAGGGGGTATGGTGTATGAGGAGATGTGTGATATGAGGTGTTATGGTGTATGAGGAGATGTGTTATATGAGGGGGTATGGTGTGTGATTAGATGTGTTATATGAGGGGGTATAGTGTATGAGGAGATGTGTTATATGAGGGGGTATGGTGTGTGATTAGATGTGTTATATGAGGGGATATGGTGTGTGATGAGATGTGTTATATGAGCAGGTATGGTGTATGAGGCGAAGTGTTATATGAGGGAGTATGGTGTACGGGGAAATGTGTTATAAGAGGGGGTATGGTGTATGAGGAGATGTGTTATATGAGGGGGTATGGTGTGTGATGAGATGTGTTAAATAAGGGGGTATGGTGTACGGGGAACTGTGTTATAGGAGGAGTTATGGTCTAAGAGGAGGTAAGGTGCTTATTTTAACCTGTAATCTCACATTTTTAAAGAAGAACACTTTGGTTTTTGAGTTCAAGTACAAAGTCGGAAATAGCATGAGGTCTAGATTCAATGTATTTACTTTTGATGTAAATGCTTATGACAAAGTCTTGCTGTAAAGAACAAACACGCTTATCTTTGTGTGGGTAATATAATAGAGCATATTTATCATAATTGTTTGTCCATGTATATTATGATACATTGCGTGTTGTTAATTAACATGTCTGTTCATGTAAGTTTGGTGTTTGTATGTAACATGTTATATCACTTGATGTTACCAAGTGCAACGGAATTATTTACCAACAAAGCGTTCTTGTATTGACGTACTTTCAGACGGAGAAGCCACAACACACCAGTATGATTCACATCCTCACGATAATACGTACGCAAGCCTTTAATCATCTGTAGTGTTAAGATTTGAGGAATGGACGAGGACAGGGGAGAAAGGCGTAGAGCCAGAGGGGGAAGAGCAGGTCAAGGAGGAGGAAGAGGAGGAGGAAAAGGGGGAGCAGATGGTAGAGGAGGTGGTGATGGGGGAAGCGGGGAAGGAAGAGGTGGAGGAGGTGAACGACGGCGAGGTGGAGCACGAGGAGGAGGTCGTAATGACGGTCAGGTAGAGCTCCGCGTCCGTGGAAAACTCGCCTAGGCTTTAGGAAACTTACCGAGTTACAACATAAGGAGCCTTCTGATATTCTTATAGCAATAGCTCACTCCGACAGTGGACTCCAGGAGGGACTGAATGACGCTACACTCAGCAGGGACTTTGTCACACTGTTTCTAAGGTGTATAGCGAAGGCCTGTCAGTGTCAGTTCGCTCCGGCAAAGAACATACAGCTTCTGACTTTGATATACAATTCTACCTTTATTAATACCACACTTCCAGCTTTCATTACAAGAATGATGTTTGAACAATCTCCTAACAGACAGCGAGAATTCAAAGAACCTCTTCACGACTCCATATGTATCATTTTAGAGATCGCCCGTCGGAGCCCTAGCTCAATAACATCTGTCTTTGGTGTAATTGGGATTCTGGATACCGTTTTAAAAACACTTCGAGCGACGACCGAAATCATAGACGATGATTTGATCGCGGCTTTTGATGATTGTTGCACGCTGAAAGACCAAATGCTTGAGGAAGTGCAGAAAAGATCAAGAAGGAAAGAAGGAACCGGTGTGAGACATGATCAGGACGAACCTCCAGATAACTTTCGGGAGATTTCCGTGTTCCCTGAAAAATCTGATATGCAGATGGAAGAAGGTCCATTCCTGCGTAGGAACATCACAGAAGGAGCTTTCCAAGACCTTGCCCACTACCTCGACGTCCAGTTCAGACTCCTGCGGGAGGACTTTGTGGGACCTCTACGGGAGGGAATCAATGGTTATATAACAGCAGTACAGACTGGAAAATCAAAACGTTCAAACGCAATGCGTGTTTATCATGACGTCCAGGTGATATGCCCGATCGGAACTAATAATGGACTGTGTCATCGAATCTGTTTCGACGTCAGCAGAATGCAGAATGTGAACTGGGAGTCGAGTAAGCGTCTCATTTTCGGTTCTTTGGTTTGTCTCTCGAATGATAACTTTAACACGTTATTGTTCGCAACCGTCGCCGAGCGAGACGCTAACAAACTCAAGGAAGGGATTTTAGATATAAAGTTTGAAGGCCTGAGCAGGAGAACTTTCAATTTTGATTTCAACAAGAAATATGTCATGGCGGAAACGGTGGCATATTTTGAAGCTTATCGGCACGTCATGAAAGGCCTTCAAAACATCAATGAAGGCGATCTTCCGTTTGAAAAGTACATAATTAAATGCAACACTAAAATGCAAGCTCCCCTTTACCTGAGGCAAACCCAAGATGCAAAACTGGACTTGCGACCGCTCGTTGATGAACATTTTATAGTAAGAAATGTTAGGCAACAGGCACTTCCACCTCTGGCTAAAGAATTCAGTGACAAAGCGGCCGTCGCGAGGTCGGTAGAACCTAAAGGTGTGTGGCCTAGCTCGGAGCTGTTACATCTTGATCGATCTCAGTTTCGTGCGGTTAAGCGAGCTCTTACCAGTGAGTTTGTCCTCACCCAGGGTCCTCCAGGAACAGGCAAAACCTACATCGGACTTAAGATAGTGAAAGCTCTCCTCCACAACCACGCCCTCTGGAACACCAATCTCGAAACACAAGAGCCAGACTGCAGGCCGATGCTTGTAGTCTGCTATACTAACCATGCTCTTGATAAGTTCATCGAAGGCATAAGCTCGTTCTTCAAAGGATCCATACTAAGAGTCGGTGGGAGGAGTTCCAGTGAAGCCATGAAACAGTTCAATTTGAGCAGTATGCGCACCCGAATGCGGGAGAAACGAGAGGTATCAGAGGAAATACATCGTGGAAGGATGAACGCAAGGAACAAAATGAAAGGCCTCCAAGGCGCAATAAACCGTGTATCGGGTTCCTTAGAAATTGCTAGCCGAGAGCTTTTAAACGAAGATGTGCTACAATCGTTCATGGGGAGATTTTACACAGAGATCGTTGATACAGAATACAACTATTTCGACGAAGGGTTTTCAACTCGACAAAGAAAGAAACACGCTGCTATATTGGACTGGCTCAGTATCGATACCCTTGCAGTTGGCGAAAATGAGCAGAACGCAGATTGGAGAGGTGAAGAAGGCCAATATGCTTTTGATACAGCAGCAGCAAACGTAGAAGTCCAACATCAACCGCAAGGTGGGGCACAATTGAACGCCGACGTTTTGGAATTACCTGTAGCTCAAGGCGATGACAACGAAGAGGAGGAAGAGTTCGTCGATGTTATTGATGAGGTAGATGCTATGATTGCTCAAAGGGAAATCGATAAAGATTTCGACGATGTTAATGACACAGACATGGAAAAGGCGGAACTTGTGATGCTGAAGATAAACTTGAACAATAGCAATGTAGCATTGAATGTAACCAACTTGGATGAAAAGGACCAAAATCGAAATAATGGATGGCAGATGCCGAAAAAGCAAAAGAAAAATCTGAAAAAACGATTACGAAGAGAGCTTGGATCATCAGACAGAATGGATGAATCGGAAATCGACACGATTTATGACGTTTGGCAGTTGAGCCAGAAAGACAGATGGCGACTATACAGGTATTGGATGAACAAGTTCTCAGTTAAGATGAGGGAGAAGATCAGAGAAAAAGTTCAAGAATACCAATCTGCATCTGATCAGCACCGAAAATTTGTAATGCATGAGGACAAGGGAATTATCAGACAGGCGACCGTGGTCGGAATGACAATCACTGGGGCAGCAAAATACCAGGCAGTCTTGCAGGAAATTGGTCCAAGAGTGATAGTTGTAGAGGAGGCAGCAGAGGTGTTGGAAGCACATGTAGTCACAATACTCAGCAGACACTGCCAACATCTGATCCTCATCGGAGACCACAAACAACTCAGACCGAATCCAACAATCTATAAACTTGCTAAAAATTACAATTTAGACCTATCATTGTTTGAAAGGATGATAAAAAATGACATTGAACTTGATTGCCTAGGACTTCAACACAGGATGCGCCCAGAAATTTCAAAGATCATGACGTTGATTTACCCGGAGTTGCAAGATCACAGCATTGTAAAGACATACGATAAAGTCAAGGGGATTACAACCAATGCTTTCTTCATAAACCACAGTTTTCCAGAACAAGAAGATGACGACCTGAGGAGTCACTCAAACAGTCATGAAGCCAAGTACATTGCTGGGCTCTGCAAGTACTTCCTGCTACAAGGTTATGAACCAGAGCAGATCACCATCCTCACGCTCTACTCTGGACAGCTCTTTGCCATTAGAAGGGAAATGCCAAAGCAAACATTCAGTGGCGTTCACATTACCGTTGTCGACAACTTTCAAGGGGAAGAAAATGACATTGTTCTACTGTCACTTGTCAGGAGTAACAGTGACGGAAAAATAGGATTTTTGAAAATCGACAATCGCGTGTGTGTTGCGTTGTCTCGGGCTAAACAGGGCATGTTTGTTATAGGAAACATGGATATGATGGCACAAGGAAGCAAGCTTTGGAAAAACGTTGTTTCTCATGCACAGAAAGAGAGGATGATCGGAGAAGGTCTAAGACTTGTTTGTCAAAATCACCCAGAAGACAATGGACTCATCGCCAAAGTACCTGGGGATTTCCGAAAAGCTCCTGAGGGTGGATGTATGAAGCCATGCCAGTTCCGTCTTGCATGTGGCCATACCTGCAGTATGGTCTGTCACGTACTAGACCAGAAGCATGAAAAAGTTCAATGCAGAAAACGTTGTGAGCGTAAGATTTGCACTAACGGTCATAAATGCAAAAAGATGTGCTACCAAAACTGTGGTGAATGTCAAATTATAATGCCGAAAAAGATACCGCAATGTGGTCACACACAGGAAATTCCTTGTCAAATCGACCCTAACTACTTCCGCTGTGAAGAAAGGTGTGAAGAAAACTTACCGTGTGGACACCGATGTGCAGAGGCATGTGGAGAGGATCATACAACAGAGTGTCAGGAACTTGTCCTTAAGTCCTGGCCATCTTGTAGACACGCTGGAATGGTAAAATGCTCCGAAAAAGTCACGAAAGAATGCGTCGAACAATGTCAAGATATTTTGGAACATAAACATCATTTGTCTGGACACTGGTTTAAATGTCCAAATGGTAAATATCTATGAAACGCTTTAAAATTTGTTAAGTTGTGATCTTTCAAAGCAAGGTATATATATAATAAAAATGATCAAATGTCAATGTGAAGTAGGTAATTACAGAAAAAAAGCTGCTTTCGTCCTTCACACGGCTCATCCGGTGTATTTCCAAAGCACAACATCATGACGTCATTATTTCATGTCATCATACTACAATAGCAACAGGATGTCAAAATATATGCAAAATTGATGGCGCAAAAATTACTGTGGCCAGTTGGGATTAGTTTTGATATTTTGATTAAAAAGTCTTCTTTCTCTTCTCTTTTGAACATTGTGACGTCACGTTACTATTGGAGTGTGATGGCAGCGAATTTTGACGTCACGGTGTTGCCCTTTCGAAATAAACCTGAATGGACATGCAATTTTTATTTTACATATATATTACGTAAAGTTGTCTGATGCCAAAGGCAATACAACTGTTACAATAAATATAACCCGTGTTACGGAATGTGCTTCATATTTATCATTTTATCTCGGCAGGTGCATGCATTTTTTTTTCTCATTTGTATAATTACATGCTATAATAGGTTTTTTATTTCATTACAGGACATGTGTACGCTATTGGAGACTGCGGTGGTGCAACGATGCAGGGGGCCTGCCCAGAATGCAAAGCGGCTGTAGGAGGTGGTTCCCACACACCGCGGTCGGACAAAACATTAGCGCCTGAAATGGACGACGCAGCTTCGCCAGCTTGGTCTACTTTTAGACACGCTGGAATGGTAAAATGCTCCGAAAAAGACACGAAAGAGTGCGCTGAACAATGTCAAGATATCTTGGAACGTAAACATCATCGGTCTGGACACTGGTTTAAATGTCCAAATGGTAAATATCTATTAAACGCTTTAAAATTTGTTAAGTAGTGATCAAAGCAAGGTACATATGTTATATATAATGAAAATGACCAAATGTCAATGTGAAGTAGGTAATAATAGAAAAAAAATATAACGGCCGACTAGAAAAACAACCAAGCTGCTTTTGTCCTTCACATGGCTCATCCGGTGTATTTCCAAAACACAACATCATGACGTCATTATTTCATGTCATCATACTACAATAGCAACATGACGTCACAATATATGCAAAAATTACTGTGGTCTGTTGGGATTAGTTTTGATATTTTGATTAAAGGGTCTTCTTTCTTTTCTCTTTAATACACTGTGACGTCACGTTACTATTTTAGTGTGATGGCAGCGAATTTTGACGTCACGGTGTTGCCCTTTCGAAATAAACCTGAATGGACATGCAATTTTTATTTTACATATATATTACGTAAAGTTGTCTAATGCCAAAGGCAATACAACTGTTACAATAAATATAACCCGTGTTACGGAATGTGCTTCATATCTATCATTTTATCTCGGCAGGTGCATGCATTTTTTCTCTCATTTGTATAATTACATGCTATAATAGTTTTTTTA